GTTATCAGAACACTAACCCATGGCCAAGCACTATTACAAGAATCTCACAAATGAACAACATACTTAGTACTGTTGTTTCATGATGAGTACGATATCAAGGATTCCCCTATGTATTGTCTGCCTGTGGTAGATAGTAGCGGAAAATTTTTCCAAGAAATAGCAGGGAGATAACCGTCTATTGACCTCTTTTGAGACATTTTTGCATCATAACTATTAGCTAAACGGAAGTTGCGTGATATGACACTAACGCATTCACGTTTAGGTTAAAAGTGAAATAAGAGACGCGATGGTGAATGTCGACGATAAACAATAAAACAAGTATTTGACGACTGAGAGAAGAGTGCACCCCATAAGATCGGTAAATTTGTGGTGCCGTGACCAGGATCAGGGTTATTGTGGAGACAACAACGTAGGAATTTAGAAGATTTGAACTGACCGCGCGGCCGTAGCGGTGGAAAACAATATTTAGCGATCATGGAAGAGGGAGAACAAGTAGCAGATGCTATGGAGCGTTCACAGAGAAACATTGACAAAAAGATCACAAAGCTGGAATACTACACGGAGCCAGTTGACGAGCTAATTGAAAGTAACGACTATTTGGAGATGGAAATTGCCATAAAACCAGGGAAGCAGATCGGCGATAAAATTACGGTCTTGTTGCACAGTTGGAAGGCATTAAGTTGGACTCTGGAGTTTCGCCTCGAGAAGTTCGGTAATGGAAGAAGGACAAGAAGAACATCTTCGCTCGTTTTATACAGGAAAGGGACAGAATTTCCGAAGTGCTTTCGGCGAAACAAAGACAAAAGAAGGACGAAATCGAGAGGAAGAATGGAAGGCTCACCGGGGGCGGGAGGAGCGCGTGACACGAGAAAGACAACAATAAGAGAAGGCATTCTGGGGGGAGGAGTTTCAAACTGAGTTGCGCGTAGCGGAACAGAAGTTGGAGATTGAACTGGCAGCAAAAGGCGCGCACGCAAAAACTCCCTAAGTTAAAGACTACGCCTTTTGAGGGAAATCATCAGACTCGGTTCAATTCGAGAATTTGTTCGTCACGCAAGTTCACACTCGACCGATCTCAGACGAAGAGGAATTTGGCTGTTTGTTAGAGATGTTCGTTCCGAAGGTAAGAGAACAAATCTCCAACCTTAAGCCCGGGATCCTGTGGGGTATAAGACAGCATGGGAAAGATTGCAAGGAGAACACCCATATGGACGAAATAGTAACTTTGACTCCAATGAAAGGGAACAGTTACGTAAAAGTGTGAGAATTCTATGAACAGTTAAGCAAAAAGTTTGACGCTTTGCATACCTTGGAAGAGGCTGACATGTTAAAAGGATTCGCAATGACGATGTTGAAGAAACTACCTCAAGTCAAACCCGACCTTGTGAGAGTTGACGATAAATGGTAGGAATAGGGCATGAAAGAATTGATTGAAAGTCAAAAGCAAAAATGGCTCAAAAGAAACAAGACGGACGACGCCTCTCCCGCTGACAGGGGGAACACACGGACTAGAGAAAGGCACTGGTATTCAAAAGGAAAGAGGGAGAACGTGCGTGAACCTAGAGCTCCTTCCTGTCTTTTCTGTCGAGGCGGGCACCGGGGGGAATCCTGCAATGTTTACAACACCTCAGAGAAAAGACGTAATTTATTTCACGAAAATGGATTGTGTTACAACTGCGGGCATGAGGGTCATGGGGCAAACCACGGCCGAAGTCGCCCATGTTTCAAGTGCAAGTCGGGATACCACACAAGCCTTTACGACAAACCATCAGTAAATGGACCGACTCAGGTTAATTAAGGCCTGGGTCAAAAATGATTTTCGCCTCCAGTGCCCCCCAGCAAGGTTCGCGGAATTCGCGTGGACTGCGCGAGTAACCATAGTTACTTGGAATCAAGATCGCGTAGTTCGTGAACGGAATCCGCCATTTTGAAGTGTCGGCTTTGCATTGGTTTTTCCCATCTTCGCTGGTGAATCCGACAATCTAGAGGAAGACATCAAAAGAAGGTAATAACATTTTCTTTGCTATCTTCATTTCCTCAAAAAATGGCATGATATCGGTATCTTAAAGCCAAAGAGAACCCTTTTGAACCTACGAAGACTTCTAAACACCGCTCTCAACATGTTCATTGATTTCACTGCAAATACAATGCAACATAAATTTATAATATAGCGCTCATTTCTAGAGCTCAATAGCGTTTTACAATGTTTGTAACTTTTGCATAGAAAAAAGTACTATGTTTTGTAACAAATACATAGAAAAAAGTTTCATTGTGGATATACGATTCAATTTTGAAATTAAATTTAGCTTGATAAATCCTCTATCACATCATGATGTGTAAACTTATGGTGTTTATCAAAATTTAGGCTTTTGAATGCTTTGGAAACAATTTCTCCAAGAAGTAGATGAATTTACGGACAAACGTAATCCCCCAAAGCAGTTGTTAGGTAAGTTTAATTGCTGACATGTAAGATGCAGATTGTCTGGTCATAAATTGTCCCTTGAAAAATAAGAGGAAAAAAGCTGTGCTAATGTGTGTTAGTTTATTCTGAGGTCCATTACTGAATTGCTATAAATATATAATAATAATAATTTTAATTACTCACACAGAAAACCAGCCAGCCCTTGCAGATTCCAAAGGGAATCTACTTGATTAAAACCAGTTTTATTTACTGTTATCCCTATTTGTTTTCTTGAAGAGGTCCTTCCAGTTATTCCACACAACTAATTTATTACAAGCATGTTAACGGTGTTATTTATGAGGCATTTTTTTGGTTTTTAAATCATCAGTTTTAATTATAGTCAACAGTTTGGTTTTTAAGTTTTGACCGGTAATAATTGCAACAATCATTGTCAATGATGGACTTGTAATTGATATACGTGTCTATTTAAATGTAAATATTCTACCCACTACACCAGTGGAGTATCTTTTAATTCAAATGCATCACAAAAGTTCTGATACATGCATATGATTCTGACCATAGCCTTCTCTCTTTGTTGATAAGACATGATTAATTACCAGTGCTTACTATTGCCCCAAGTGGGGCACTGTTTTTTTTTTGTGATAAGAGCAAACACAAACTGGTATAAGATGTGTCATCTTCTCAGCCCTACTCATAGAAGATGTGCCATCTTAAGAGCAGGATAGGTTGCCCTTGTTACAAAGTCAGAAAG